AGGTGTTCAGGGGTCTTGGAGTACCCGTACCGCACAGTTTCCACTGCCACGTCAGCCGCGAGGTTGCTTTGAGTGTGGTGACATAGGCCATGTGGTGAGATATTGCCCTAGGCTTGGAAGGAGTGCACCTCCACAGACTTCTCATCCACAGCGCGCTCCGCAGAGTTCTCGGGCTACGGTCACAGCACCAGTTGCTACCCCACCTGCTCAGTCAGCTAGAGGGGAAGGCCAGGCCAGATATTTTGCCATTCCTGCCCATACCGAGGTTGTTGCCTTCGATTCTGTCATCACAGGTACTGTACTGGTTGCCACAGAGGTGCATCGGTTCTATTCGATCCAGGCTCCACTTATTTTTATGTGTTTTCTTATTTTGCTCCGCATTTGGGTGTACCTTGGGATTCTTTGAGTTCCCCCGTTTATGTTTCTACTCCTTTGGGAGATTCTCTTGTTGTGGACCGCATTTATCGGTCGTGTTTGGTTGCTCTTAATGGTTTAGATCCCCCTGCACAGTTATATGGAACTACGGAAATGCACCCGGTAGATTTCCTCAGTACTAGGTATTTATATTTAGGGACTACGAATTGGGATTTCGGTAGATCCCCCGCGCATTGATAGTGGGACTACGGGACGGGATCCCGGGAGATCCTTCGGACACATTTATGATGGACTACGGGACGGTATCCCGGGAGATCCACTGGATAGTTGTAATTGGGACTACAGGACGGTATCCTGAAAGGTGCGCCGGTTGTTATCTCTGTGTTGAGTTGTATTTCTTTCCGTGGTTTGTTTGTCTCTGTTCTAGTTGTTGTTGTTCTTTCAATTCTATGTTATTTCTTACTGTTGCACTTATTTATACTGTTTTATTTAACACTGTTAACCCTTATATTTTATTTAACCTCAGTAGGGCCCTGACCTTCCTGTATTACCCGATCGAGGTTAGGCTTGACACTTACTGAGTACCGCTGTGGTGTACTCATGCCCCTTCTGCGCATGTTTTTCATGTGCAGATCCAGGTACTTTCGCTAAGTCTTATCATCCTTGAGGCGAGGCGCTTCTATAGAGACTTCAAGGTATATCTGCCGCGTCCGCGGACCGAGGAGTCCCTTTCTATTCTCGCTTTTAAGTATTAGCCCTTCTGTATTTCTTTTCTTTGATTAGATGAATCTGGAGTTAGACACTGTTAGATATTCAAAGGCTTGTGGTTTCATGAGATTCCGGGTTTTAGGATAGTGTACTTGGTTTGAGAAATGTCGTATTGTATATACCGAGTGGCATTATAACTATTGTTTCCATTCAGTTATTTTGTTTTTGATTATTCCTTCCGCAAGTTTAGTTTATTTTTCCGCACTTGTTAGGCTTACCTAGTCGTAGAGATTAGGTGCCGTCACGACAGTTCACGGAGGGTGAACTGGGGTCGTGACAGTTTTATATTCGCGACAAGGGTTTAGGGGGAGCGATTCTCTTTCTCCAATTAAAAGTTAAATTGTTCTCTGTCGAAAGAAAAGAGTTTTATTTTTTCTATAAAAAATAAGAGTTCCAGTGTACTGTTGAATAAAACTATATTCGCATTCTTTTTTTCCCCTTTTCCCCTCAGGTTTTAAGCGTTTCGACAAGTATATTAGAATATCAAAAATTATTTCGATATCAAGTTATCAACTTCTTGAATCTGATTCTATTATCTAAGATCAACAATATCTTAGGAGAGATTAAATTATTTATAAAAAGAAACTATTAACAACTTTACATCTTAAAAAGATAGAAAAATAGACTTCAATTAAAAATATAGATGAATTATTATTTATTTTTTCTTTTGAAAGGCCCCAGATTAAAAATTGACTTTAGGCCACCAATCTTCTTGAGTCGTCCCTGCGAACTGGCTTAAGCGGGCCGGTCTTAGGTTCAGGTTTTTAGTGATATAATACTGTCTAATCCACCGCCCGTATCCGATTGTGGGTTAGCCGGGTTCTAATCAGGTCGAGCTAGACTTAGCTCGATGGTCTTGGCTGGTCCGGGCTGACTTTAGTGGATCCTGCTTGCTTGCAAGTAGTAATGGTAAAATAGATAAAAAAAACAGTTATTCACTCATATTATCCATTAAAAATTGGTTGGATATGAACTTTTTAAAAATTGGTCAAATATGGAAAAGAAAAAACCATATTATCCATTCAAAAAATGGATAACTAATAAATAACTAATGAGTTTAACTTTTATACGGTAAAGACTCAAATTGGGTTCCTCAAGTTTCGGAGATTAAAAATTCTTCCAAAAGTAATCATATTCAAAATAATACAGATATATTATCCACCAATTAACCCATTTTCTATCCGTATTAAATATGGATCAAATCGAATAATTTATTCAATTTTTTATTATCCGATTTCGATCCCCACACATTCGACCCAACCCGTCTATTTGCTACCTCTACTTACAAGTCGGTCTCCTCTAGCCGATGTAGTGTCAAGTAAGTTTATTTGCCGAAACTTGCACAAATAAAAAGAATTTACCTGCTAATGTCATTTATGTTGAGATTTATATTAGTCAGCTGTCATGATTGTTAACTTTTTTTTTTTTTCCAAGATTTTTTAATCTTAGATATGTACTTCGACATAGTCTAGAGCTAGACTATTCTAAATTATTGTGTATAGCGTCGTCGTTTTCACTTGGTATGGACCATACATTAGGCCAAAAGTTTAATTTTTATAATTCATAATGAACATATGAATATTAAAATCCATAATTCATTATTTCGGCATCATTTGTTTTTACAATATTCTTTCACTGTCGATATCTATCTACATTCTACAGTCTCCTAATATGTTTTATAATATGTTGAGGTTATTTTTGAAAAATTTGTTGAGTGAATTTGAATTTCAAAACTTGAAACTTAAAATAATTCAGTGATCGTAGTTTTCACTCTGAGGTTCATCATATTTACGATTCTAATAGTATTCATGTTTCATATATGTATGAAACTGAATTAAATTAAGAAAGCATGAAAATACTGTCGATTAATTTAGTAATCATTGCTTTTGGTTCTTCTTCGCCTCTTTTTCATCCTCTTATCTCCATGCCTTCAATTTCAAAACTTTATAGCTCTTCTCTTTTGTTAATTGTTTAAAAAAATTTGTTCTAAAATCGTAGAAGAGGTTTTACTTTTTCTTTTATTTTGCTTTTGATTTGGTAAATCCTCAAAGTCCATTTTCTCTCTCTCTTTCCTTCTTTGGTGATATGAAACTCCAAGGGTCAATGACCCTTTTTCCCAAGGGTCGTTGAAAGTGAAGAACTCTAATCATTAGAGCAATTCTTTCTTAATTTGCAAAATAGGTTTAATTAATAACCTTTTAAAAGGGAAGTGCAAAACAACATCAAAGTACAATAATGCAATGCATGTAAGTAGTGGCGAAGTCAGAAAATTTAATAAGGGTGTTTAAATTTTGAACATCCTTTACCAGTGGACTATGCAAGGGTATTCCAAGTCTATTTTTTAATCAATAACAAGTACTAATATTTTACTTTATACGTAGTATAATTTTTAGGCGAACGATGTTCTGTTGACCACCCTTGAGCCAATATAGCTTCGCCATTCGCCCCTGCATGTAAGACTGTGCAACAAAGGAATATAGCTTGTGAAAAATGAACGTTCCTTAATAAAACCAGTCACCAAAATAGCCCCTTAATTCACTTTTTACTCTTTCTTATTTACAACCACATCAAAACTATAAACAACAACAATAACAACAACAACATACCCAATATATTCCCACAAGTAACTTTACTCCTACCGTATAAAGGTAGAAAGGTTATTTTCGCTAGGCCTTCGACTTTATAAAAGCAAAATCAAAAAAACAGTAATAACAACTAAAAAATAATATATATAACTGAAGTAAAAGAAATAATCATTATCTAAATATAGGAAACACGAGGATAACACAATACTACATCTATGTAAAAGGAGTACACATCAAACCTATAACAATTTTTCACAAAAAAAAAACTAAGGTGTGACATGGATGGATGTACTAAACCACGGATTCCACCACGTTTTAGAACGTCGCTTCGGTTATTTTATTCTCAAAATAATTGATAGTGTTATAAAAAATACCTTTGCTTTTTTAGTTTTTTTGTAATATTCTTTTTCCTCTTTGTAAGGTTGTCGTGAAGTAGTTAAGCTTAGCTAACCAGAATTCTCAATTCATTTGTTGGAATGTTCATTACTGTGTAATTGAACTTAATTAGTTGTCTGCATAATTAAACCCCAATAATGTTCAATTTTATATCAAAGAAAGCCAGTGGGTTGGGCCGGCACCAATCATTTGCGGGAGAAATTCAAAAATAGCCAGATTTACATGTGGTCGTTCAAAAATAGCTCAGTTTCAAAAGTAATTGAAATTTAGCTACTTTTCATATAAAGATAATTCTGAGCGAAAACACTGTTCAAAACCCGAAAAATACGCCAGTATATTATGCTGGAGTTCCAGCATAAGTATACTAACTCCAGCATACTATACTGGAGTTCCAGGATAAGTATGCTGGAACTCCAGCATAATATGATGGAGTTCCAGCATAAGTACATTAGAACTCCAGAATAATATACTGGAGTTCCAGCAAAGTATACCGATCCAGTATAATATGTTGGAAGTTCATACACAAGTGCTCGAATCTCCAGTATATTATGCTGGAACTTTCCGTGTGTTGGAGTTCCAGCATAATATGCTAGAAGTTCATACATAGATGCACCGAACTCCAGTATATTATGCTGGACCGGTCTCTGTTGCAGCAAAATAGTGGCTATTTTTCATTGACTTGATAAACGCTAGCTATTTTTGAATGACCAGTCCGAAAACTGGCTAGACCGCGCTATTTTTACATCATATTGCCGGATTCTACTCAAATAAGGCCCCATGCATGGTCGGTGAAACCTAACCCAATAAGCAATAAACTTAATATTTTTTTCCCTTTCTAATTATAGTCTCAACTATATAAGCTATTATTTCTGTCACTTCAAAAACCATCAAGTTTTTATCAAATACCATAATTGGTTAATTAGCAAGTTTTTTCTTTGTTGGGAGCAAAAATGGTGAAGATTACCTTTGGTAACTACAATGATTCTGTTAGTGCAGCCTCAATCAAGGCATACCTAGCTGAGTTCATTGCCACTCTTCTCTTTGTTTTTGCTGGTGTTGGATCTGCAATTTCTTACAGTAAGTTATATATTATTGTAATATTTATTGATGTACTATGAGTTATATTACCTTCATTAGTTGTTAATTCTGATGTCGTAAATCATTTAAATTAAGCCTTTATTTCGTTACAAAGAGAATTAATTTATTATGATCAGTGTAGCGAAATTTGTGAAACTAATTATGTCTGTATGCCTATACTCGTAGAAATGTTTTAGAAAAGACTAGAAAAGTTACGAGTCTCCGGTGTCCAATGAGAAATCATACATATTTCAAAAAGCTTTTTTTAAATTAAAGTTTGCATGCTATGGGTAAAGAAGCCACCTTTTGCTAAGGGTGGTCAATCGTCGAAATATTACGGAAAATTACACTGCATATATAAATAAAATATTAGATTTTAGATGTATCTAACATATATTGAACACCTTTTGTCCGTACTTCTTACAAGTCTGAACATTCTTGTGGAAATATCTGACTTCGTCACTGATTATGGGAAGTATCTATTTATTAGAAAAAATATTTTATATATCAAACTATAGTTTTTTTTAATTTGTTGGGTGATTTTGCAGATAAGTTGACAACAGATGCAGCTCTAGACCCAGCTGGTTTAGTAGCAGTGGCTGTGGCACATGCATTTGCATTGTTTGTTGGAGTTTCAATGGCTGCCAATATCTCAGGTGGCCATTTGAATCCAGCTGTCACCTTTGGATTGGCTGTTGGTGGCAATATAACTATTTTGACAGGTTTCTTCTACTGGATTGCCCAAGTGCTTGGCTCTACAGTTGCTTGCCTTCTACTCAAATTCGTTACTGGAGGATTGGTATGTATTATGTAGGGGTTGTATAACTTTAACCCAAATAATCGCCCATCCAACCACTTAAATTAAAAATAGTCGGCAAATGTATAATTTATTTATAATATTTGTATAACCCTATATAATCAATGTATAATTTATATATACTGGCTAGAAAAAATAAACATTAAATCTGACTTTGATTATTTGAGTAACAAGAGTTATACGGGGGAAGTACACAAATAGCTAATCTTATGACTGCTATTTAATTATTAGCCAGTACTTATTTTGTCATGAAAATTTGAACCAAAAATCTCAAATTCAGGACAATTCAGGATATTTTTGTACCCGAAAAATTGAACTGAAAACTGAAATTTAGGATATATTGGCTAATTCCTAAATAACAACTCTTTAAAGTGGCTACCTGGTGTCATTTCTAACTTAATGGGCCTTAAATATTGGGCTTTTGCAGGCTGTTCCTACTCATGGAGTTGCTGCTGGGCTCACTGGATTTGAGGGAGTGGTAATGGAGATAGTCATAACTTTTGCACTGGTCTACACTGTTTATGCTACTGCAGCAGACCCCAAAAATGGCTCCCTTGGAACAATTGCACCTATTGCAATTGGGTTCATTGTTGGAGCAAATATCTTGGCTGCTGGCCCATTTAGTGGTGGGTCAATGAACCCAGCTCGTTCATTTGGGCCTGCTGTGGTTTCTGGAGATTTTTCACAGAACTGGATCTATTGGGTCGGCCCACTTATTGGTGGAGGATTAGCTGGGCTTATTTATGGTGATGTGTTTATTGGATCACATGATCCTCTTCCAGTCTCTGAAGACTATGCTTAGAGATCTTTCTCGCGCAACACATTGGCCGATCATTCAAAAATAATTACATTTCCTAGCTAAGTATACAAAAAATATGTATTAAAAATATATATTTTACCAGCTATTATTTTTGGAAGCGGCTATATTGTGTGGTTTTCGCTCTTGTCATTTGTGTTTTTCAAATGTAACATTTACTTTTCTGTGAGCTTTGTAATTTCTGCTCTGCAACAATTTGTACTTCATTTTATTTAAGAAAATGTGGATATTTCATTTTGTAATCTTTTGCAATTATTTTTACAACTCTTTTCTCTATATCAAAGTCACCAATTACGTGGAAATTAATCCAGTCAAACTAAGACGCATAAATTGGAACGGAAGGAGTATCATGCATTTATTAGTTAGGCGTAAATGAAAAATAAAATCTATGCCCTAATCCTTTCAAGACTTTTTAGAACTTTAACCATAAAGAAGAGTAGATTTTTTTTTTCTTTTTGCCGCGTGTTGAGAAAGCTAATCAAAAGGCATCTTTTTCATAGAGTGTGCAAAAAGCAATATCTCAACTCTTTTTATTGAATCCTTGAGGGTTGGCTTTTTAAACATTGAAATTACCTTTCTACTTTGTAATGGATCGAATTTGCAATGGATGTAAAAGTTTATTCCCTGCATGATTGATTGGACTACATATTCCCACTACAATAAAGCTCTATTTTGAAAATTTACACTTGCTTTTCACAAGTCAATGAGGAGGCGAATAATCACATTTGAATTATCCAACCAAAAATTTAGAAGGGTGTCATATATAGTTTTTTGGCCTTGATCCTTTCCTTGCTTCCTTTGACATTTTTTTTTTTGCCATCAAGGGGTCGTTTGGTTAGAAAGAAGTTATCTCAAGATTAATTGTCCCAAGATTAGTTATTCCGGGATTAGTTATTCCACCTTTTGATAGAGATAAAAAAATACTACAATCTCAGGATAACTAAACCAGGGATTGATTATACCGCGTTTTCTACCAACCAAACATGGGATAAACTCTTCCTAAATTTAATCCCGCGATTAATTATTCCTATCCCTCGTACCAAATGAGCCCTAAGAAATTTGATTCCTTTCAAAATTTTATTTTTATGAATTCTGAATTTTAGAGGATGGACTTCTAAGTGCTGAGTTTAAAAGAGTTCTACTTCTTAAAAATTCCATTATTATGTGAGCTAGCTTAGTGCCTCAACTCTATTTCCCCACTAACTTTTTGGTAACGCATGCATAAGTCTCAAATAATTCCTCAAGTGCTCTGAGATATGATAATGATACATGTCAATGGAAATAATGAGAGTAAAATGGACGCATAATAGTGGCTATTTTCCCAAAGTTGCAAAACAATGATTGATTCCTATGGCAAATAACTCTTGGGTATAGGCATGTGAAAGGATAAAAAAGCAGCAGCTAAATATGGGAGCGAAATCATTGTGCTCGCATGGGATTCTAAGTAAAAATTCACTATACTCACTATTACTCCCATTTATGTAGAGATCTCCTCGACCATAAAGCAACAAAATGCAGCTGTAAATTCACCTGAGTTTCACTTTCTAAGTCAGCTTTTTGAGTTATTTTATCCGTAAAATAATAGCTAGCCATATAAGGGAGCTTTGAAGCAGCAATAAAGTTGTCTCTGTGTGACATATAGGTCACGGGTTTGAGCTGTGGGATCAACCACTGATGCTTACATTAGGGGAAGCTACCCACATCACACCCCCTTAGGTCTTAGGGTACGGTCCTTCCACAAATCCTGTATGAAAACGGAATACTTTGTGTACCGGACTGCCCTGCCATGATAGCTTAGGTATAGCATGTCAAGTCTGATCACTTGCACTTGAAGAATTTTTGCTGTTCATGATCATCCCACAAGCCTATCTTTTCTGCTATCACCACTTTGGTATGATTAAGATCTTTGTTTATTTAATTATGTTCCAATTACTGCATTTTCAAGTGAGAAAGTATTAAAGAAGAGTCTAATTTATATTATTATTAGTGTCCACTATCAATCTGCTATAACATATTAAATTACATTAACAATATTAATTTATGCTAATTTATTTACATAGTTAGTATAGATAAATTAAATTCATTACAAATGGCAAACTGAATGAGTTTAAGATTACGAACTTATTCTACAAAGGATTTGTCATTAAAAAACAACCTTATTATTTAAAGGACACTAATTAGATACTTTAAAAAAAGATTAGTACATTCTTGAACATTTTGTTGCCCCTTATCCCAATTCCCATGTAACCAAAAAAAGAGCATTATGCATGTAATCAATAACCAAGCCAAAAGAAGTGAAAGCACAAATTCTAACCATAAAAGGCAGCCCAGTGCATTAAATTCCTGCTATGTCCGGGGTTCGAGGAAGGACGAACCACAAGGGTCTATAGTACGCAGCCTTACCCTGCATTTCTGCCAGATGCTGTTTCCACGACTTGAACTTGTGACCTTTTGGTCACATAAGAGTCCTTCTAAATTCTAACTATTGAATCATTATTGAAGGATTTACCATTATGTATCTTTGGAGGAAATGTAACAATCTTATAAGTCCATCTCTAACTCCAATTAGTCAATTTAATCAATTACACCCTTGAAAAATCAACTTACCGAATTGCACGTCACACCACTTTATACACTAAAAACCCTTTTTTATTATCTTATATTATACCTCATCTTGTCCCTACACGGCCTCTTCCCAAATCCAAGGTTCACGATTTTTTTATTTATTATTAAAGCACTGTTTTTTAAACCGTGTAATAGTGTACTCCCAAAGTTAAGAACCACCGAAAGTTATGTCTCAAATATATGATAGATTTGATCCCCACTATCCTTTCTTTGGTTGTTTTTTATTGCTATATGTTGTAGAAAAATTCTTTTACACTATTAGGTTACCAAAAATAAGGGTAAATGTAGAGTTGTAATATCAGATTTATTTGAACCCAGTATTTTCAACATAAAGCTTAAATTTATGTATAAAAATTTACTAAAATTATAAGAGATAGTAGGTTTGGATCCATAATATTAAAAATACAATTGGATCAATGCTAAATATTTTAAAGGTTGAACTCATAAATATTAAATCCTGGATATATAACTGCAACTAACTGTTTTAAACAGGGACGGATTCGACATACGGGTTCGGCAGAAGGTAATAGCTTTGATTCGGACCCTATATTTGTGTTAAAGAATTCACTTAATATGTATAAGTAGTTTATTTAGAACCGAGTAATTTGTCTTTTCAAAACTCATAGACTCAAAATCCTGGATCCGTCACTATTTATATAAATGAGTTTAGTAACCTCAAAAATAAGGTGCATTACATGCAACAACAGATTGAATACTTTGATAGTACTAAAATTTATTACACGGTTTGTGTATATAAGTTAAATCCGAAATACAATATTGTTGTTCACACTGTAGGGTCGTGTGCCTGTGTATAAAGTAATGCAACCTTTTGTAGCCAGTGTTTTAACGTTAGGAAACAAAGGGTCCGTTCAATCAGGACAATGTTTTCTTAGGTTTTAGTCAAATTAATGTTATTTTATTGGTGGTTTTTTTAAAAGGAATATTAATTGTGTTGGAATACGTGAACACCAATGTATTTTTTTTTCACGAGGACGTATATTTTAAGGTATTATTTTCTGTCCTCATGACACCAACCTGAATTCTTGGGAGCACGAGACCAAGTGTGTGTATGTGTGTGCCTATGTTAGCTATCATGTACCTCTGTTGTTTACTTTATTGTCTCTCCTATATATAAACTCATTCTACAATTAAAGCTAAAACCAAAGTGTGTATGTTTTTAACTTGCTTTTTCTGCTATTAGTGTTTGTATACAGTCCTCAGATTGCCAAGGTAAGCTATTCCTTCACCCCTCTCAATCATTTCTTAAGATATAGAGTATTTGATACGACAGAACTCATTTTAAAAGAAAATATTTTTCCGAAAAAGATTATTTTGCTGATTAAAATTAGTTAGAAACATTTTTATCCATCAAGAAATAGGAAAATGACTTCCCTTGCTTATACACGGAAATTATTTTCTTTACAATTATATCCATTTTTAACTTCATATTTCTCAAATTAATACTTGGGTACTATTATGAATCTTCACAACTCAAATATTTCGTCAAGGCACTCTCGAGTTTAATAATATAATCATCACCAATCAAATGCTAAAAAAATATTTGACTAGGAGGTTACGGGTTCGAGCCGTGGAAATAGGCTCTAGCAGAAATGCGGGGTAAAGCTGCGTACAATAAACCCTTGTGGTCTGGCCCTTCCCTAGACCCCGCACATAGCGGGAGTTTAGTGCATCGGGATGCCCTTTTTTTAGCAGCCCAGAGCACTAAACTCCCGCTATGCGCGGGATCCAGGAAAGGACCGGACCACAAGGCTCTATCGTACGCAGCCGGACCACAAGGCTGCATTTCTTTTTTAGCTAAAAAAGGAAAAATATGTTTTACAAAAACATAATCATGAATTATAGTACAAGTTAATTGTCCACTATTTAGTAGTACTATACTTCAAGTGTTGCCTTACTCTTCTTTGGTTTGAACACCAAAATATTCAGGCAAAATAGCAAAAGGGTGAGAATTGGAGAGAGCTGAAAACAGGAAGTATTATGGAGGAAAACTATCTATTGGGTTGGAAGAAGAATGATTCAGATAATTGGCTTGTGAGTGTAGAAGAAGATGAAGAGATGAAAGCAGATTTACCATCTTTACATCAACCACAAACACCAATGGAGCCTATGGATTTCTTGTCAAGATCTTGGAGCCTTTCTGCTTCTGAATTATCAAAAGCTCTTGCTCAGAAACAGAAACTCAATACTTTTGACAGGAAATTTAGTGTGATTCCTGAGTCAGTTTCTCCACCTCCACAACTAGTAAGTTTCCTACTTCAGCTATTGTTTCTTTTGCTTCCATTCATGTAATAAAAATAAAGAAAGGGCAGCCGTGCACTAAGCTCCCGCTATGCGCGAGGTCTGGGGAAGGGTCGGACCACAAGGGTCTATTGTATGCAGCCTTACCCTGCATTTCTGCAAGAGGCAGTTTCCGCAGCTCGAACCCCTGATCTCCTGGTCACATGGCAACAACTTTACCAGTTACGGCAAGACTCTCTTTCAAAAAAGGCAGCAGGGTGCATAAAGCATCCCGCGTTCACGCAGCGTCCGGGGAAGGGCCGCACCCTAAGGGGGTGTGATGTAGGCAGCCTACCGATGTAGGTATCAGTGGCTGATTCTACAACTCGAACCCCTGACCTATAACCCGTGACCTATAGGTCACACGCAGACAACTTGACCGTTGCTCCAAGGTTCCCTTTCCTTCCATTCATGTAATATTTTAGATAAAGTAATTTTCTTGCCTATAATTTCATGGTTCAAATTTTTGCATTTTTTCAACCTTGAACTTGGTGACATGAGATTGTTGAGGCCTTTAAGTTGTGAAGTCAAGATTAAGCAAACCTAACAGCTTAACACACTAAGCAAGAGGGGAAATAAAGATTAAACATGGATTTACAGAGTGGATTAGGTCCATACCACAAAAACTATCTGAATTCCAAGTATGTCGCCGTCAGCTATATGAATCCTCACTGTCTATGTTGCTTGTATTATGAGAATTCAATATAAAATAACTAGTCTTGTGATGACTGTCAACCTATCGCAAATCCTTTTCCTTTATCCGATCTTGGACATACAGTATGAGCAAGTTCACAGTAGCAGAGTTTGATTAGGTCCATAGGAAAAAAGAAATTCAACCTCTCAATTATCTTATGAGTGATGATCTTCTTGCAGCCAGGAACCAAGATGTCGAATTCACAAAACGGGCGAAGAACCGGGGGGATTGTAAGGTGGTTCCATCCTAAGGATTCTAACAATAGCTCTGTCAAGAAGAAAGAAAAGGCACGCCTAGAAAATGCGCATATGCACGCTGTCCTATCTGTAGCAGGACTAGCTGCAGCATTGGCTGCTGTAACAGCAGCAGAGAACTCCAATGGTTCAAGCTCAAAGATGAGCATGGCTTTAGCATCAGCTACTGAACTCTTGGCCTCACATTGCCTTGAAATGGCTGAATCAGCCGGGGCAGAACATGATCGTGTAGCCTCGGTTGTTAGATCAGCAGTGGACATACATAGTGCTAGTGATCTTGTCACACTCACAGCTGCAGCTGCCACAGGTACATATTCATTAGTCAATTACTATGTTCTTGGAAATGGATTTGAGCTATTGATACACATGTTTATTAACAATAACCATAATGCTATGAATGAAAAGCTTTGAGAGGAGAAGCAACTCTTAAGTCAAGATTACCAAAAGAAGCAAGGAGGAATGCATCTATAAGTCCATGTGACAAAAGCATGGTAGAAGCTCAAAGTTTTGCTGCTTTCCCTAATGACACGGACGAACACGATTCCCCCTTTGTGGATGAATTGGTGCATATCACAAGGAAAGGTGAATACTGATTTATATTCAAGAAGTATATTAGTTTTGTTATTTCACAATGTCCAACTAAAGATCATTCAATTTTCTACTTGCTGAATTTACTTTTTTATTCTGAATTCTTAGGGGTGCAAAGGTGGAAACGCGTGTCTGTCTATATTAATAAAAAATCTCAGGTCCGTTAATAGGCTTTCATGATTTTCACCTTGAGGTATAAATTTCATAAATTGAGTTGCGAATGAACAAAGATGGAATCACTAACTTCTGCGGATCAATTGACAGGTTGTGATCAAGTTGAAGAGTAAACATGTTGGTGGAGCTTTCTCTAAAAATAATAAATGTAAGCTCTCCCCCCTACGACTTCATCGCTGTTATCTTTGTTCTTTCTTTTTCATTTCCTCTATTAGAGTTGTTCAATAACGGATGCACTCCATTTAGAGAGGAATCTAGAATTTAAAGTTGATGAGTTCAGCAATTAAGGCTCTTACCACTAAATCCATTGCAGTGTTTGAAATTTTAGTGATTCTCACACATACACACATAATGCTCCCCGTCGAAAATGTTGGGTTCAGTTGAACCCATTGAACTCATGTTGTGTCCGCCTCTGACTCCATTGGTGTGCGACAGGTGTTGTTTATGAAGTGTGTGATGGAAGTGATGCATGGTTGTTCAATAAAGAGATTGAAAGCCAAGATTTGTACCTTGGAGTAAAGACGGCTCAGGGTCTTCTGGAGTTTAACTGCAAGAACAAAAGCCAAAAACAAAAATGGGTTGATAGAATTCAGAAGCTTCTTGATCGAGTCAGTTTATTTGAAGATACTGAGGGCTCAATGACAATGTTGAACATTAACAAGAGCATTTGACTAACATATTAGTTTCTTTTTTTTAACTTTTGTGTTACTTTCTGTATAAAAATGTTTGAGATAGTACTTGGTTTGTCCATTGATGACTTTTCACTATTCAACAAGAATTTAGCATCTGAAAGCTTGGTATTCTGAGGCCAGGTCTTGTTTGTAAGAATTTTGTAAATTTTCCTAGTACGGTTTGGGATGAAATAGGCTTGAATAAAGGAGAATGGAAACAACGAATTCATTATTCCCAACTAGTTAAATATACTGGTATTTTGAAGAAAGATGTCATTTTCCTGGGACTTGTTCTTGTTTATATTTCAATATTTTTTTTTCCCTTTATTCCCTTTTTTCATATCAAATAAATGGAGAAAACTCTATTACAACAAAGTCATATCTTCTTTAGTGCAGAATGCGCGCACACACACACTATATTCTGAGCCTCACTTCAACTTATCATTATGTTATGACTATAATATGAACAGGAGCAAAGACAGATAAACAATGAGGGATGAAATGGCTTAACACATGAGAAGGACAAAGATATGCAGTTATTTCGGGGCAGATAAAATCCAGCTTGAAAACTATGTAAAAATTGACGTTTGAAGACCATTTGAAATTCATCACCTGCAGTGTCATATACAAACATAACTCAAATGACAATAAATTCAAACGATCTACAACCATCGAAAGCAGCTTTGATGCACTTTGATAGTAAGAAAAACAATTTGGAGCTTGTACAAATATTTGTTGCATGTGGAAAAGGGGAAAAAAGATCGAGACATTGTCTTAAATCACGAATTTTAAAAAACATTTCAGTTGTAACCTCTTTATTTCTCATTCCTTTCTCATAACTTCCTTTCTCTGGTAGTTCTGTTACGAACAACACTCATCTTTTCATCTTTACTTCTCGGAGTGGCATGTATGGCAGTGTACTTGGATAACCAAGTCACAATGATGATATTTGTGATCACTGAATGATGGACAGAATAGAAAGAGAATGATGCAGCTATCCCAGCTCCCTTTTCAATCAGGACCTAAACACAACAGTCTTGCTCTCCTCATACGGCAAAATACGCAGCTCACAGTATGATTTGATTGCTTTTGCAAGACACCTTTTCTCAACATCCTCAGACTTTTGTATGAAAGTCCGCAAATTATCTCTATGAGAAACCCTTTCAACCTGAAAGATTCAAAGCTTGCAACTATTAAAGCTGGGAATGCAGATCTACAATGATGGTCAAAACCTACTAGAAAAAAATTGGTAGACTCCCAAAGATACTTCAAGGTTAGTCATCTTATAATTGATGAATAAATTAGAAGGTTGCAACAACAACTACAAGGTGAGATGGTGAGACTTGCATTAAGAAGGAAATAATCAAGTACATGTAAGAATATATAAAATAACACGCAGACACTATGATTGGAGGAGCAAAACCAAACAAGAGATGAAAAGCGAGGGATCAAAATAATAAGGAATAGCATCAATCGACAGGAATGACATAAGCTGATTTTTGCAGCTTGGCCAAACAGGCTATTAGTTCAATTGGAATACAAATTAAATACTTCACAAATGACCAAGCTTAACATGGGAATGCAAATTAAGGACCAACTCCGTGGTAAATGATAGCTTATAATATTTGGCTGGAATGCATGAAAAGGTGAAAACAAGGGAAAGCTAATCCAATAAAACCAGAATATCAGAAAGCTGATGCTTATGTCAACCTAAATATTTGTAAATACAACCTCACAAATTACAAGTATATGTCGGTTATTTTTCAAAATACTTTGGTCAGAGAATATTGGAAAGAAGGCAGACTACCTTTAGCTTCACAAGTAAAAGAGGTGAAAAGGTAATAAAACTAAAAATCATCACACTTTTAGAGATTACCAAGCAGTTCAATTTGGTTATTAAAAAAAAAAAAGCAACTCAATTTCTACAGCAAACACTACAAGAAGCTTTACGAATGACATAAATAGCATGATTCTAACATGAAAACTATTACCATTTGCTCAATGATTGGACCTGCATCTAGTTCTTCACTAACGAAGTGACTTGTCGCCCCAATCAACTTAACGCCAGCATCAAAAGCCTAGTAACAGATAAAATAAATCTTATAAAACTGTAAGTGTAACTCCAGAGAGGAAAACCGCAAAATGACCTTTTGAAGAAAGGGTATACAGAAAAGGAACCTGCTTAGATGGATTACTGCCCTTGAATGATGGCAACAAGCCATGGTGAATATTAATGATATCTTTCTTATAGCTTCTTAAGAAGTCTCCAGATAATACCTGCACAAAACGACTGCAGATTTGTATTACACAGAAGCACGCTAAGGGTCCAAATACAAGATATCTGTCTAATAGTGCATGTCATAATAAATCAAATAAAAGACTACTTTAAATCAATTTGTTTGAACCATTAAAGAAAATCAATTTAGAACATAATGCATGATAAAGAACTGTCCAAACAGACCAGATAAACAATTATTTCTATGCAGGAGAAAACAAGAGTAACAGTTACATGTCTCGTGGGTTGATTACCTGCATGTATCTAGCAAGTACCAAAAAATCAGTATCCCGAACTATTTCCAAGATTTCTCCTTCTCTTTTATTCTCCTTAGTCGTTGGCAAATGATAGTACGGAATCCCATGCCTCTCAAGAAACCGAATCACATGAGTGTTTGGACCTCGCTCATGGTTGCTGGTGAAAAAGTGTATGACATCATCCTTATAATGACATTGAATCACTATGATGAAGAAGTTTCGTACTTTACCTTATTACAGAAGTTATGTGAATGGGAAGCCGTCCGTCCTGCCAACCATGCAACAAATCCACAAGACAGTGTTCCTGAGCCGAAATTGTGACAATATTTATGTGAATACTCTCTAAAAGGTTTAATTATTTTAAAAATGATTAAAGTTTAAACAGCTCTGAGAAGTTTGAAAATCAATACCTGCTTTGAAGCTAGAACTGCAATCTTATATTTGGGATCGATATCAGGCACCCGAACAACAGACCTCATTGCATTGAACATTTTAGCTAGTTTAGAGAAGTCTGCATCCATCTGCTCACGTGGCCATTTAGCAGGGTCAAAGACAAACTCGCTGTAAGTTGCAGCAAGAATTAGTTTCTCTAGTTGTTGTAGTTAGAGGAAGACAAAAAAAGGTAAACAAGGGTCGGAAGACAGCTGATTAATCACATCAGAACAGAGAATATCTGTTCATATTATTGTTGGAAAACGAGCATTTGCCTTGTAAAGCAAAGAGTAAACAATTATCAATGCAATTTTATATGCTATTTGCAGATATGGTGCACTTCAACAAATAATCCAACCACCAACACTAAGCATACACATTAACCTTCTTAAACTCCAGTCCCACACATACCAACGAGCTCACCTGTGGCCCTTTCCCATTTTGCTTCCTTAGTGACTTGATCCTAACATTATGGATGGAGGAGGAGGATTTTTAACACTAGGCTATCCCTCCCTTGTCTTAAAGGCACAATATTGTTTTTCAACTTACCTTTAAAAAGAATGGTTTCTGTGTTTTTAATTTTCATTTAAGGCTTAATCTTCAGAAAACCTCCTTAACTTAGGAGATCAGAGATTTTACAACATGGTCTTAAGAGAGCATAGAGTGAACAATTCCACAAAGGCCCAAAAGAATCATAATGCTCCTTTAACTATTAGTAATGTATAGACCAAATAATTGAAATATTGCAACAGATCAAACCTTTTAGGGTCGTTTGGTTAGTCGCATAAGAAAAAACAATCCCAGCTACCAAATAACTAAAATAGCATTTGGTTCTCCAATAAAACTTTGCACACTATTGCAATGTCTTTTTCCAGTATTAAATTCTATATTACTCATATTGATATGATTTGCGTGAAAATATTTGCCTTATTTTATGCGGGATATAATATAGAATCATAATATCTGTACCCAAAATAGCTCTACAAGAGCATTTAAAGAAAGATAACTCTTATAAAGTAGATAATAGCCACATAACTATGTGTACATTATTATCACTATATAACTATCCCTACACTAGTATTTACTGCATAACACTTAATGTATTATAGTTCATGTATTATTAGTTCCGAGAAGCAAACAATCCCTAACTTTATTCAAGGTGTTGAGACACACCCATTGACTTTGAGAATGAACTTATGAATTGCCTTGGGCATTGACGAAGCTAGGATTTGAAGCCTATGAGTTCGGGATAGCAGTTCTATTAAGTTATTGTCTTCTAAATTAATACAATTTGTACATATTCAATGAATTTTCTAAGACAAATACAAGATTTGGACCAAACTTACTGGGTTCGGCCAAACCCGTAAACTAAAGGCTAGCTCCGTCCCCGTCTTGGATGCAGGGGCAAAACCTATTTCAACTTGTATGATCTAAAGGAAATTTAGTCTCTCCTATATAAGCAATGTCATAGTCATTAAACCATATTTTATCAGCAATTCATGGGATATCAGTCGATTAATCATGCATCCACTCTAAACTATTTCATGCCAATACGAAATAACTTATTTAAGAATTCACCGAAATCTTTTCCAATTTTTTATTTATTTAAAAGGAATAAGAAGAGTAAATTTGAAAGAAGAAAAAGAACCTTCTGGAGTAAAAGACATGATTGTGGTCAGGAACAAAAATGTCAGCAGTAAGAATATTTCCATCCCTTGATGCTATGCACTCCGATAGTTTAGCAAGTATTCCTACCACATCCTATTCATAAATTAAAAAAAAAGGAAATTTAATTCCCATATTTTTCCAATTAAATATAACAAAAAATAATAAAATGACAGGGAAGACTTACTGGGCAATGAAATTGATGAATGCCATGGACCAAGGAGCTTGAGGTGGTGGAGTAAGCAATGGACCCAAAAGGGATTTGTATAGTTTTGAAGGACCTTTTCGCAAATCCAAAAACTTGCGAACTAGAGCTTGGGGATATTACTCTATGGAGGAAGTTCATGTTCCTCCCCACTCCTTCGGCACTTTGGCCTTCCTTCCCTTTTACCAACCAAATCTTGTAAATATTTTTTTGATTTTTTTTTTCCTTCCTCAGATTGCTGTTGCAGATTGAGCAATAGGAACTTTATGTTTGGATAAATTGATCTATTTGCTATTGTCAAATAATATTTTATTATTTGTTTTGAGTACTGTACTGTAACAATAAATTTACTAAAATATCATCAATTTTTAGTATTATCAAAAATTACACATAAAGTAATTAGAATTGGAATTAAAAATCAATATTATACAGCTAATTGAAGATAAAGTAATT